GTGGTGCTGGGGGAATTGAACCCTGGTCCCTGTGCTTTGCTAAGCTTGTTCTAAGTAGGTGCTTTAGACCACTGAGCCATCTCACCAGTCCCAAGTAACTATACTTTGGATACATATTTTGTGATAGATCCTAGGCTGTTTATGAGAGAAAAACAAAAAATTATTTACAAGTTGGGTATGGTGGTGTACACTTGTAATCCCAGCACTTTGGAGGCTGAGGCAGAATTGGTACTAGGTCAAGGTTAGTCTGGACTATGTGGTGCGACCCTGTCTCCAAAAAGCAAAAAACATACAGAATTCAAATTACCAAGGAGACAGGCCAAAAAGAATGTCTTTTAAACCACATGGAATGTAAATATGACATACAAGAAATGTACTAATAAAAAATAAAGTAAAATGTGGTACGTAGAGTCAGAGCGTCACTGCCTAGCAGTACCAGCACTCACGAGATGTAAAGATTGGTCACCAAGATCTACAGGGACCCAAGACTATATAGGGATAGGGCAGTAAACAAAAACCCAAGCCCAGGAAAGCAATGTGAAGGAGAAGTGCGTCAGAAGAATTCCAGGAACAAGAGTGGTTAGAAAAAGAACGAGGTTGTTTCTTGATCCCAGCACTGCTTCCCCGCTTGGTCTGGTGAACACATCATCTTAGAAGAAAGCTCGGATTCTACTGAGGGAAAAACGCAGGTGCACCCGGCAGCCTCAACCCAGAGCTCACCTGTCCTAACTTTCCTCCTTCTTGGAGATGGAGCCTGACAGGGAAAAATATTCCCAAGAAAGGGTCTCCTCAGGTGTTGGCAGTCAGGAAAACACAGGCAAAGAACCTCTCAGAGGACAGTGCCTGAGTTGGGAACATTGAGTCCTAAGGACAGAGAGCAACAAAGACATTGTCCTGGTTGGGAAAGCAACACATCTGGGCCACAGTCACACAATGATCCAATGGAAAACCAGTGCTTCAGAAGAGCGATATTTACATACACACAACAGAAAGTTCAATGTAGTATTGGTGCAGAAAACACAACTTTCTTCCTTTTTCATGTAAAAAGAATCCTTTATTTAGGCAGTCCACACTGACTCTAGACTTCCCACCAGATAGCAGGCTATGTCCGTCTTTCTGTTCCATTAGATTATTTCCCTCCCTCTTTTCTTTTTTTTCTCCTTACCTTCTTCCTTCTCCTCTTCCCCCCCCTTTTTTTTTTTCCTTTTTTTTTTTTTTTTTCAGAACTGGGGATTGAACTCAGGCCCTTGTGCTTGCCAGGGAAGCGCTTATTCCACTGAACCATCTCCCTGGCCTCTCCGCTCTCTTTCTGTTTCTCTTTTCTGTCACATGACCCAGAATTGCTACAGGAATATAACTTTGGACCTCCTATCTGTGCATTTCACAAGGAATAAAAGAGGAAATAGGGAGGGTCAAAGAGCCCTCCCAGCTCCGTGGGTTCTGTCTAACATTCTGTCTGACAGGCACATGCAAACCATAACCTTTCCATTTTTTCTTAACTAGAAAGGCAGCACACCAAGATTCCTGTTCTGTCCATTACTTGTTTCTTCTCCCGTATACCCAGTAAGTGGAACTCGGCTTGTTTGACAGTCACCTTCATGTAGATGATCATTTTGGCTGTTTCTAGTATTTTTATTTTTTTTTTTATTGCAGGGAATATTGCAGTAAACATCCTTATACACGCACCAATTCATTGGTTCTATAGTTTGAATGTGTCTCTTCCAAACAAAGGGCTAGTTTTAAGAGCAAGCCTTGTAAGATGTGATTAACCACAAGGTTTTTTTCCTTGTACATGAAATCAAGGCCCTTATAAAAAGTCTTTGCACAGTGTTTGGCTAGTGTACCATCTTATTCCTCTGCCTTCTGCCATTAGAGAATGACTGGAAGCCCCTACCCCACCAAGTGAGAGGCATTGATCTTGGAATTCACAGCCTCTAGAATTGTGAGCAATTAAATTTCTATACTTTATAAATTAGCTAATCTCAGGTATTTTGTTATAGCAACACAAAATGGACAGAGACAATAGATGTGCAGGTATGTGTATATACAGGATTAATCCCCAGAACTGGGGTTGCCAAATTTAAAAGTTATGCATTAGCTGGGTATTGTGGGAGAAGGCTGTAATCCTAGAACTCTGGAGGCTGAGGCAGGAAGATTGTAGCAAGTTTGAAGCTAGCCTGGACTACAAAGTGAGTTCAAGACCAGCCTGAACTGCATAATGACACCTTGTCTTAAAAAGATCACCCCCCAAAAAAAGTTAGCTATACTTGTAATTTTGAAAACTATTGCCAAATTCCTTTTGGTAGGGTTCACATAATTTGGTAGTTCCACTAGCAATATATGAGAATACATACCAATACCCTTACCTCAATTTGTTGTCATGTATTTGGGTTTTTTTTTTTTTTTTTTGAGGAACTGGGGATTGAACTCAGGCCCTTGAACTCAGGCCCTTGCGCTTGCCAGGGAAGTGCTTATTTCACTGAGCCATCTCCCCAGCCCATATTTGGATTTTAATCATTATAATACCTATGCAATTTTTTTGGGGGGGGTTGTTTGTTGTTTGAGACTGTCTCACTGTGTAGTTCAGGCTGGCCTTGAATTCATGGTGGTACTTCCTTCTTCAGTCTCCTGAGCGCTGGAATTATAGGCATGCACCATCATGCCCAGCTCATCTACAGTTTTAGTTTGCATTTCTGTTATCATGAGTAAGGTAGCACATATTCATAAATATAAAAAAAAAATCTATTTGCACTTCTTTTTCTATGAACTGTCCTTGTGCTTTCCTCATTTTCCACTGGGTTTTTGGACATTTCTTCCCAATTTCCAAGATAATTTTTAAAAATGTTTTTTAGGACTGGGTCTTCAGGGTTTACAAGGTCTCACTGTGTAGATCGGACTCGTAGTGATCCACCTGTGTTCAGGCTCCCAACAGCTGGGATTACAGGTGCGTGCCACCACGCCCCGTCTTCCAAGAGAAATTTATACTTTGGGGGTTGTTATCTCAATAAAAGTAACACTAAGTATTTTTCATATTTTGCTTCTTTGTCTATTGTGATTTCTACCCCGCAAACATTGAGAGTTTTTATATAGTTGAGTTTATCAATCTTTTCTGGCTAGTGAATTTTGAGTCATAGTTGCAAAGACTTTTTCATCATCTCCACCTGAAGATTATAAAATTTTTTTTGGTTTATCCAGTTTTCTTCTCACCTTTATATTTTGGATTTATTTGTAGCCCAATGCAAATAAAGGCAGAGTCCTGGGGAAACTCGAGCGTTGGCACCAGCCCAGGAAGTCGGACCGCACCGCGGAGGCGGAGCGCAGATAAGTCCCGCCCCACGCTCGGACGCCCGCCAATCGCAGTGAACGACGTCGTAAGCAGAGGTTCGACTGGCGGCGCGCGCGAGAGAAGAGGAGGCGGCGCGCGAGGGAAGAGGAGGCGGCCTGCGCCAGAGGAGATGCCCCGTGGCGGCGCTTGCGGTCCTAAGGTAAGACGTGGGGCGGACCGAAGCCAGGCGGCCGCCCGCGTCTCCGGGACGAGCAGGTCGGCGCGTCCCTCTCAGTCGGCTCTTCGTCGGGTGGGCCTGCAGGCTCAGGGCAGACGACCGGCGGGCTCCGCGGGCTCGGAGGGGCGGGGTGGGTGCTGTGGCCGGCGGGCACGGAAGTCGGGCGGAGGCCGCGAGCTCCGACCCTGGGGGACACGGCGGGGCAGCCCCGCGGCGCGAGGAAGCGCGCTTCGCGGAGTTGACTGGAACGAGTGAGCGAGCTGCGCGTTCCTTCGCAGGGGTTTTATCAGTCGTATAACGCGTCGTGATAGCGGTAGACTTTTGAGCGTGTCTTCCATCCAGTCTTCCTCAGATACCACTGCTGCTACGCTTTTCCCTCCAACTTTGAGTCTTTCTCGTCCCGACACTTAGCGGTAGAAGTTTAGAGCTGTGCTGCTGTGTCCAGCGCCCCCTGCAGTGGGTAGGCCCAGAGTGGAGGTGTGGGAACGATTGCGTGGATGATGACACTTAAGTGATTGCACCCGGATTGTGCTGGTTTTGGTGTGTCTCCTTTCTTATTTAGGGTTTTTGTGTACGAATATGCTTTTCTCACTATACTCTAAGTCAAGGACTCATACTCTACTCGTTATACTCAAAAGCTTCCTTAAAAATGATCCACGTGGGGCTGGAGAGATGGCTCAGTGGTCTGAAGCACCTACTTGAAACAAGCTTGGCAAAGCACAGGGACTGCGGTTCGATCCCCAGTACCACATGCCAGCCAGACCCGCCCCCTGGTGGGCTGAGCTGGCCACACACACACACAATAAATAAATGTAATAAATAAAAATAAATAAATATTTAAAAAAAATGATCCACGTGTATTGGTTCGACTTCCTTATCATTATCATGCTTGTTTCTCACATACCATTGAATGTCAGACCACCCTCAATTTTTTTTTAAATTTTTATTTATTTATGTGTGTGTGTTGGGGGGGGGCAGCTCAGCCCACCAAGGGGCAGGGCTGGCTGGCATGTGGTGCTGGGGGATTGAACCGCGGTCCCTGTGCTTTGCTTAGCTTAGCTTATTCTAAGTAGGTGCTTTAGACCACTGAGCCATCTCACCAGCCCCCCCCCCCAATTTTGTAACCGGTTTTTGGGAATTAAAAGAGGACACATGACATTCATCAATTGTAAGACACATTCGAGTTTCAGAAATACGACAATGGGAGAAGTATGTAAAGTTTCTACATCCAGTCGAAGCCATTTACTTGGTCACTGGCATTTGACACATTGGCCACCCGCTTTTACTTCTTTTGGCGCATCCCCGATGTTGGTGGCCTGATTTTCTTTCTCAGAACTGGTCATTTACTTCTTTTTACTGGATTCTGCCATGTTCTAATTTTTGACCTTGTACTTTTTCTTTACAAGTTTGCCCTGAACAAATTTATATATCGATGTTAACTGTTACTGTTTGTAGGGATGACTTTCAGCTCATTTGACTTTGGAGCTTACTTAAACGCAGTATGTTGTGAAATCATTTTCTCACCCTTAATCTGTCAGGCCCTGACAGTTCTTCCAGATTTATAAATCTTAGTCGTTTGTTTTTGTTTTTTGAGATTCAATCTCACTATGTAGTTCAGGCTGGCTTTGAACTTGTGGTAGTCCTCCTGCCTCAGCCTCCTTAGTGCTGGGATTACACACTTTTGCCACCATGCCTGGTTGGAATCCATGAATGTTTATGATGTCGTTTTTTTTTTTTTTTAAATTTTTAATGAGTAAGGAATCTGAGCATGGCTCAACTGTGTAGTTGTAGTTCAGCATTGCCCACAAGGTGGCAGTTAAATAAAGGGTCATTGGGGTTGGAAGATCTGTAAAGCACAGGCTCAAATGACTGTGGGTGAATCTCAGTTCCTTCAGATTTCCATAGGGCAGATAGCATGGTAGCTGGCTTTTCTATGACCAGGACATACAGTAAACCAGATAGGCCCTGCTGTCTTTTTAATCTCAGAAATGATATAACATCATACAGTAGAGATTATGAGTCTGGTAGAGTGTGGTAGGACATTGTAAAATAAAAAAAGTGTGAATGACAAAAGGAGGAAATCATAGGGCCCATCTCAAAGGCTGGCTACTATAATAGTTTTGCCCCAGAATTTCTTTTTCACTATGTCCCTCTAGGTGAGGCTCAAGGTGCTATATTTCATGGTTGGACATGTTTATGTATGGTACCAATTTTTTTTAAAATTTTCATTAAAAATTTTTTTTTCGTGGTACTGGGGATTGAATATGGTACCGATTAACGTGCTCCCTTTACATCTTTAGAGATGATTTTTCGTCAGGGATTACTTTTGTTATATGGTTATGCCTCTGCCTAAACATTGTTGTCTTATTAAATTACTTCAGATTTACCCAGTGTATATGTTTATATGTATTATAATTCTTTTAGGGAGCCTGTTAGCCTCATGGATGAGGAAACTGAGACTCAGCAGAGAGATTAAATTTTGTCCAACGTCACCTAACAGCTGAGTGCAAAGGCTAGGATTTATACCCAGGTGGTCTACTTCAAAGTGTGCTTTTATTCAGGTTCTCAGTCTTTTGACATTTTTCATAATGTGGTCACTGCTTCATTTCTTAGCTGTATAGATAACACCATCAGTTGTTACAATACTTTTTTGCTTCTTGGTGTTCACTATGTTCTTTGGTAAAATGCCGTTTCTGTTTGCTGAACTCTTACTCCTTCGTCAAGGCCCACCTCAAGTCCCACCTTCTCCCTACTGATCCTGATTATGAGCTTTCTTCTTTGTTCCTGTGGCATTCTATTTCTGTCACTTACTAGTTTGTCTTATATTACATTTATTTGTATCTACATTTTATTCCTTTATAACATAAACATTTATAAAGATTAGGGACTTTGTCTTTACCCCACTTGAAAGGAAGAAGGGGAAAAGAAGAAAAGAAAAATTTCATTTGTACATTGACTTTCTGTTGGGACACTCCTTTAACATTTATCGAGGCTGTTTACATCTCTACCTTAATCTTTTAGAAATTAAAAAAAAATTAAATT